CTAGTCCTACGTAATTTATTGCTACGTCGATGCTAAGGGTCGACGGAGTCGGTCAAGCGTGTGATGCGGCACGCGCCGCGAATGCCCGGAAGGCAATACAAAATGGTCTGTTTGGGCGTGAGTCAGGTAAAAAAAACCGCGGAGCTACAAGATACGTGATAAGTACTAGGTACGTGACCGTCGAATCGTGGCACGTGTTCTCCGAATTTCCTTCGAATCGTGGCAAAAAATTAGAAATAAAAAAGGTTAAGTCGTCGTTTTTATTCTAGCAATACTATGTATTCATACTAATGTACACCGGCATGCTGGCCTCTGTCTTTTTTGCCCACTGCGCCGAGTTTCTATAAAAACGAGACGCGAAGGATCACGACTTAGTATTCTCAGATCTGCCGGATTCAATTCCGACCTCCGAATATTTCTAGGAGAAATTACTGTACATAGATGAGATCCTGAAGGATCTGATCTGAAGGAGATGATCGAGATGTGGCAACCTCTAATCGCACATCTACATTTTTCCAACACGAATTGTCAACCAGCATCACCATTAGATCTGGGGACACTGAAATGACATTATTCGAAATACAGTAATTTCTCCACGAGTGTCGCAATCTTGCTGTGCCATGAGTGAGCAAAATCTAAGAATAGCTTCAAAAAATCTTGCTGGCATCTTAGTTTTATCCTCTGAAAGCCATAAACGATGTTATGCTTCACATAACATCGCATCATCTAATAACAAGCCTCGTGGTTTTAGCAATGAAATAAAAGTAAAATTCAATAATAAATTTATGTCATTACTTCGCAGAAACGCTACGTGCATAATAAAGTATATCCCGTTTTGTTGCCTGTCTGTAAGCAAGTTTTCAAGTCATAACGATTTTTGCCCCAGTTTTGGAAGGAATCGACCGCTAAGCGGCGTGTCCTGGACAAAATTTGGTCGACACTGCACACGCATACGACTTCCGGTGGAACCGCGCAAAGGCTGCTTCAGGCTCGGCCTCAGAACTCCACCGAGTAAATGGAATGCCGGCAGCTCGGATAGAGGCGTTCGCAATTTTCGGTGGCTCGAAACGCGTCCTCGTAAGCTTGGTCCTCTTCGCGTTCGAATGTTCCACCATCTTCCGGCAGCCTGCGACAGAATAACAAGCAGTTACGTTCAACCAGAAACTACAATTGTTATGAAAATTGTTATACGTCTGGTTTCGCCAGGGTTTGGGAACTGTTCGAATATTGACTTCGGTTCTTGGAATTGTTACAAAGGACCTTTCTGTTATAGACAACTGAAATTTCGAGCTAGTGGTCTGGTCCGCACGAATTTGATACCAAACAATAATACGTTTAAATTGATTCGTGTGACAGAAGATTTGGATTTTCTGAAACGATTGTAAAAAACCGAAGTTCGATAACATTGGGTAGTTTTAATTAATTAACAAACTATAATAACTGGATGGCGAATATTTATAAATAATACAAATTGTATACATTAATTGCAATATGCAGGAGCCGTATAGACATTTGTCTCGTTTGTTAATCGTTCGAATGAATGGTACAATATTATTTTTTTCGAAGTTGATCACTCTTGTTATAAATGCATAAAATTCGCAATCTAGTGATTGATCACAGCCTATAGAATTCTTCTAATGTATTTACAGTTTGGTATTTCATCTACTCATTCTTATCAGAAATTTCATATTTGTTTTTCGATGTTGAATACAAATCTGCAAGCCGGTTTCCTTATCACGATCAGTATTTTGTTTCGAAAAAATCAGACTTTCACATTGATGAAAAAAATTTGTTTCGTTTTAATCGAAGAAACTGTACGAATGATTCGTATGGAGAATGGTTCTGCATCGACTTTCTTTCTCTCTAAAATGCAACAATGTATTTTTTGTACCACGATAAATATTAAGATAAAAGGAAAAGAGTTATTAAGAAAAAAGTAAAATATTAAGAAAAAAGTTCGGAAGCAGGCGCTTCTACTGCACCAGTTTTTCGAGACATTTGTAATTTTTTGTTTAAATTATGATGAAAACTTTTGTTGTCTGATAAAATAAATTAGAATCCAGTTTTCGTTTTCGATTGACTGGCAGCATATGAGATTCTACCTTCAGATTTCGCTGGTGTTTTTTTCATCGACGAGAGTCGACGTTATCAGATTTAATCGAGATCAGATCTAATAATAATATTGACGATCATTAACTGCGAGCACATGCATATTCAACGATTCGTATAAATCATCATTCCTGATTTTTGGAATTACCGTTTATTTATTGTCTTACGTAATTCTCAGCATGAAAATCATTGGAATAAAACAATTTTGATTTACACATAATGCAGACTTGTTATAAATGCACTTGCAATAACACATTTTTTTAAAAACATAACTTTTGGATTCCAATGCAAAAAGTGTGTAACACTGCGAAATTTTTAATTCCACCACAACAATAAAAGTTCGAGTCGCTAGAACGCGAAACAGTCCGCTGATGAGAAGAACTTCAACGACACACTGGACGAAAGTTATAACGGTAGGATGTTTCTGGTAATTGTAATATTGCGAAAAGTTTGTTTTTCACATTTATAGCTGCTTTTATCCGCCGGATATGGTTTAGTATGGCTAAAAAAGTGTATCGAATATTTCCTCAAAAAGCCACGTCGCATGTACATTTCAGTGGAATCGATGCGTTGCACTTTGTTTTTATATCTCGCGATTGGACTAGAATCTAGGTTGAGAAAAATTGACAAGCGACGTCGCCTGACAGTTCTTTTCTGATGTTTATAAAACCACGCAGAGTTTGCAAAGCGATCAGAAATAAAAAATACGTGAAAGGAATAAACTTTATCATAAAAATTGGTACTGTATTTTTAATTGTTTAGAAGACAAGCGTCGCAAATGATATAATTTTGAAGTGATTTCTAAACTCCAGATTATGATTGCATAAATTTCTAATCTTCTGTCCCACACAATTACTTACGAAAATTCATGCAAGTTTTTAATTTGCAATTAGATTTTTTGTTTGAAACGGATTTTTTAGTTCGCTCAACAATATTTGTAGTAAGCAATAAATTGATTTACTTGCAATACAAGCGTGAAAAATTCTAAAAAGTACGGCTACTCTTCAGATTGTTATAATATTTCTCTCTCTTAACTCCTTGATCGTTGCAAATAAAAAGGATATAATTCTCAATTCCATACGTCATTTAATAGAAATTGAAATTAAAGAGACACTTCCTTCGTCAATTAATCTATTGACTGCCAAATTATTTTTTTTGAATTTTTGAGTTTCATTGTAAAAATATTTTATATTTTTTAAAAAGTTGAATAAAAAGAAAAGAAAAAATTTTTGTTTATTATATGAAAAACATAAAGACTGAGTAAGTAACACATAGTTACTATAACCTCTAAATTACATATTTATGTATGGTATTTAATTATAATATAAAAATCAAGAAGATAGATAAAAACCAAAAATATATCATGCTTGAATTATGATAATTTTGTTGTGTTCAACTTACAGGCGATTTCCAAATTTCTTCACTTGTTGGAAAGAAACGAATCACAAAATACACACCGTCTGTTATAAATAATATTGACTGATATGTATAAAGTGACATTAAACTATCAAACGCATCTGATATATTCTGCGCGCCAAGTAGTATACGTAAAATTCCAAAATCTCTAAATGGAGATCGTGGCAGTTAATGTGGGTTAAAATATTGGTTAAGTTAATTAAGTTAAAAGATAATTAAAAGATTGTTAATTTATACGTTTCCTTCCATTCTAAATATCTGCGCATGTCATAAATGCTCAATGATCCGTATCCTATTGACAAATATTTGTCCAAAACAGTATGACGAATAATCACCACATATTTTTCAAAATACTATGGCGAACGCTAGAATTTCATGAAGATATTCGTCTCATCTTGCGTTGCTGTTCCTTGTCAGACGATATTGCTGTCGATGAACATTCGTATCGGTCAAATTTGGTTGCGGTAAATTTTGACTGTCGAAATTCAGCGCGCGGGACTCGAGATTTCAGTGTGACCCGAAAATAGGGAGCAGAGCACGGGGATTGGAGCGACGAGGTTTGGATCGCTATGTCAAACGATACGAATTCGTTTCGAGAATCGAGGGTAGCCTCGATATCTCTCCGCCGTTGGCTGGAGCAGGCCGCTGCAGGCGGATTTCTTCTCCCTTGGAACGGGAGCCGCCTTTTACCTTCTAAAATTCAACGGCGGAGCACTCCGATCCGTTTAACAATTCATTGGAACAACAACAAGCGATTGTTCGACGCAATGACGACTTGAATGATTCATCTGGGACAGCTCGATCGGTTAACCCGGGCGCAGTCAGTTGGTTACATGGGGCTGTCGCTAATAATTTAATTGTTTCGCTTGATTAATTCCCTCGATTGATCGTTATCCTCTAATTGGCTAGTTGTTCGAATTAGTTAACATTTCGTCTGTCGCTGTGCGCGTCCTGTTGAGAGCACACCGGAGACCAAGAGACATAAAACGTTCACACAAGGACCGTAGACTCTTAATTGCCAACTTAATTGCGAGAAAAGGATGCTGCAGATAGACAGAGTTTATCTCCGCTGAATTCACAATTTTTAAACCAATTAATCAAATTGAAAACGTGGAAATATAGAACAATGAAGACATTTAGAAAAAAAAGCGCGGGTCGTCTCCATTTAATTTGTATCAGTATAGTCCTTTCATTCTATTTTATAGGCGAGAATATTGTAATATTATTAGGCGCGGAAGTAAATTTTTTCTGGTTTCAGAGTAGAATCAACATTGCACGAGTTTAAGTATCGAAATTATTGACGATTTTAGACCAGATTTAGACAAATTTTATTTGAGACACAAATAATAAATAATTCATTTCAAAGCGTTGTTTGAAAATAAAATTAATATCGATCCATTTCAAATAGTAGCAATTCCAGATAACGTTACTTGTTTTCAATTCATTAAAACTATTACGAGAAGAAACAGATTTTTATTCAACTCCAGTTGCGTACAAAATTTCTATTTCGCATAAACATCCGCATTACCTATTATATCTTTCTAAACCGATATTCGGTCCCTTCATAACAGTTTTAGTCGGCACAAATATATAATTTGATTCGAATCACACTGGTGCGACGTTCGAAAATTTCGACTTATGTCTTAAAATGTAATTTATACATGACAAAATGTAAAAAAGACAAGCGAGAGAAATTATGAAGTTACCGTAAATTAACTTAACTCTCAATTATCTTAACAACAAATTTAGCCAGTAAACACTAACAAACCTTTGTTTCTCACAATCCGGAAAACGTACACTATGACGATTCTCTAATCCGCTCATATAACAGTTTGAAACAGTTGTTTCCCGAATCTTCCTAATCCCCTGATTCTGTCTTTGCGCAACATTTAATTAGGACAGAGCAACAGGCGAACAACTACTTTACATCCGTTGCACTCGTAAGTCATGAACCGCGTTTTCGACTAATCAATGCGGTACTTACGTGAAAATCGCGTGCAGCAGCTCCTGTACGAGGGTCCGTTTCCCGTGGTCCGAAGGGTCCCTTTGGGCCGCCTCGCAGAGCGCCCTCATCACGCAGGCTCTGCCATCGATGCCGGTGCTGTCGATAAAGTTTAATTTAAAACGGTTCCCTGGTTCGTAAACTTTGATGACGGGGGCGCGGCTTAGGCGAGCTTCCTGCGGTCGAAACAATTACCGGCGACTCGAGCAGCATTCCCGGGCGCAATCGCGTTTAACTTTAACTACACCGGTCGGATGATGCGTATAACACGTTGTTGTTCGTCGGGTTGCTTCCGGCTCGAAAACTTTCGATAAGAAGAGCAGCGCGTCGGAGAGAAACAAACAGAGAGAGAGGACAAATGAGAGAGAGAGAGAGAGAGCGAGGAGAGAGCGAGGAGAGAGCGAGCGAGAGAGAGAGAGAGAGAGAGGAGAAATGAGAGAGAGAGAGCGAGGAGAGAGCGAGCGAGAGAGTGACTATGTAAGTAAGTGAGTGAGTGAATGAGTGAGTGGGTGAGTGAGTGAGTGAGTGAGTGAGAGAGAGAGAAAGAGAGAGAGAGAGAGAGCGAGAGAGTGACTATGTAAGTGAGTGAGTGAATGAGTGAGTGAGTGAGTGAGAGTGAGAGAGAGAGAGAGGAGAGAGAGAGGGAGAGAGAGAGACGGTGCTCCCTGGACGACTACACCATGCTAGAGATCGCTGCCGGTTTCCTGACACTGGACGCGTCTACCGTGAAAATAGACCACGAAGAGTGTTCCCTGTCGGTGGCGGGCTCTCGGGGCGAGCAGCGCCGAAGAATGCCAATCGAGGGTTTCCAGCCGCGCCAGGATTGTTAATTAAATTCCTCCGCGGACGATTATGTCCGGAAAAATCCGGGTTCGGCCGCGGTGTCGTTAACCAGCGACACTCTGTTGAATCGAGCACTAGCTCTCGTCACCAGGAATTCCTCCTTTTTTGAAACTCGACCGCCGTGTCGATGCTCTTTTTCCTTTTCACGCGTTCAGCAACAGCCCGCACGGCTTTTCGCGTACGGATTTTATTGCCCGGCCTCGACATAATTAAAGGATCGTTAAATTCAAGGAGGGAGATCGTCGATATTTCAGCAGCTGTAATTTCGACGAAATGCTGCGATCTATAGATCCGGGAACATTTTATAGGCCGACGTGGAAAGCTGGTGTAAGAAAATCCGGGCGAGAAGGCGAATTTTTCGCGAAAATTTTACAGATCGAAACTTGTTCACGATTCGGGTTTCTTAACTTTGCGATTCTTCACCGTGTAATTTTATAACTGTTTGATATCGAGTTTCGTTGTCGCTTGTGTTTATGGTTTAACGAGATCTTTCTGGACGGAGGGGAAATGGCAAATGAACTTGTCACATGGGAAGTGGACGATGTTGTGTAACAGGTCTATGTGTTCGCGGACTTCTGACATCTAGCAAAAGGCAAGGAAAATTACACGAATCCAAAGAAATAGATCAGATGAATTTTGTGATACGTACTTGTGAGGCTATTTCTACGCAACTTTGCATAAATGAAACCTGGAACTGTCAACTTTAAGACAGGGTAGATTAGATTGCAATAGAATGACGAGAACATTTTTAAAAAATTAAAAGGAATCGACCTCTGACGTAATGGGGTTTAGAAAATTTAAAAGGAAAAGTTCAGATGGACGTTACCCCGTTCCCCGTTCCCCGTCAGAAAAACTATTTTTAATGATAGTTAATCCTCTGCTGCAACATATCTTTTACTATCGTGGCCGGTAATCTGGTTCTTTTATGCACGGGCTTGATTTTTTATTATTGTTCTGCGGTTTAACAAAATTTGAAAAAATTCTGGAATGTATACTGAAGATTCCACTTTAATGTAGAATTGATGATTAAGTCATTTTAGGCGAGGAATCCAGGTTGTCCCACCCTCCCGCTTCGAAAATATTCAAAGATGAAAATTTCGACTGGATAGCAAGGGGTTAAATTATAAATAGCTTAAAATAGTATATTATTTGATCACCGCAAAGTGATTAATTTGCATGCAAACGTGATCGTTATTAATATTTTGCCCAGCTACGTACATCACACTCTGGCGCGTTCAACAAGTCAAACAAGTTTATTGAGGATCTGCGTTTTTATTGAATATCCTACGTCCTCGTGTTGGCAACACCTAATGCGGTTCAATTCATGGCGGAAATATGAATCGCGGCAAGGCCCTCGAAGAAAGAGGAAAACATTGTACACGGTGTCTCGAGAGGAAAACAGGAGAATTCCTACGGCGGCTTCCGGATGGAGTTTCCCCGTGAAAAATGGTAAAGGTATTTCAGCTCGTTGCGCGAGAATTAGATTTCCATTCGCGGAGCCGGCGTACTTTACTTGCAATTACCTTCAGGATCCCATTGGCGGCCGGTTCGTATAATATTTCCTGTCGTGTCACCCGGTATAATACAGCGGAATCGAACCCGGCGTCTTCCTGTTTCGTTATTCTCACACGTTTCGCATGAAAATTCCTGCGCCTGCCCCGCATTTGCATGTACCGGCACGGAGGGGGCAGCGAGGGGTCCATTTGCATGTTACACCACGCCTCGAAACCGAATGAAAGCGAGCTTCTGCGGGGGTCGAGGGGGACAGAATAGAGGGCAAGGGGGATCCGGCGAAAACAAAAAGCGATGGTAACGGAGAACAATGGAAGAAAAGAAATTGAAATTCGTGCGTCTTCTTTGCGGTTTGACACTCTATTTCCTACGTAATTTGCGCCCGAGAACAAGGGAAGCACGCTCGGGAAAGTAATACGTTCTATTTCAAGTTCAGCAACGTCTGTTTAAACGACGGATGCCGTTGAACGGGAATCGAAACCTACGAATACTTTTCGCGATACGTTGTGTAAAATAAGTGCTCAGCGTTTCTGATTCTAAAGTCCTGTGGTGCATATATATATATATATCCAAACAAGTTTTACTATTTATATTGAAACAATTGGACCGTTTATTTTGAAAGTGGTGTAAGTCCTTTGTTATAAAAAAATGAGATATGACGTAATTTATGCTTTATTTAGTGTAAACTTTTTGTTTATAACTAGTTAGTAGTTAATATCTTAAAAAATGCCAATGCTTTATTATGAAAGTGGTGTAAGTCCAATTTCCATAGACAGGTGGCGGGGTTAGTGGCCACCGGTGGCTTCACAATTGCTTTATTTGCTATTTATATTGATTTATTTTCGTGCCAAAAGTTACTATTTTAGGTTACTTATTTTATTTTCCTCCAACAATGGATAATTTCATATTCACATCAGATAGTGATATAGGTAAGAAGAAATAGTAAATCAATGTTATTTTATGACAATTGAAAATAGTTATTTTATTTTATTTTAAATAAATTTACACGGAAATAAGACCCATGAATATAAACAAAAGAATAATCTTAGAATCGGAGGATGAAGATAATTCTACTATGAAAAATAAA